CATGACTTTGTAACCTAGCAGTTAGAATTGAGAGAGACCTTGGTTTCAGTCCCAGCTCCTGTGATTATTTCCAGCTTTTTTCCAATGAATATTTAAGGAAAATGCATAAATAATAATGGAAATTGGGGAGGCCACCAGTACCGCACCTGGCTTATAGCTTTCTGGTTAAGGTACTTTCTTGGGACGTGGAACATATGAGCTTAAATCCCTTGGAGCTGGGGAGGTCTTCCATTTCTTCAGTGAATGCTCTAACCATAAGTCTATCATATGGTAGGCAGCACCACCCCTACTGTATTTTAGGAATTATGCATGTCGTGAGGACCTTCTGTCCTGTCAGTGTGTGCTCAGCGTGTTCCATGCACAAACCAGACACCTGTGAGGACTTTGGCACTCTTCCACCCAATTTCTGTGTCCTGATTGGATTTAGGTAGGAGCTAGATGCCTAGCCAGTTGGGGTAGGGCAAATCTATTTATATGAAGAGCCAGAACTGTAAGTGCCAGAGAACTGCCCAACTAATTAGGGAGGCATCTAATGAGTTTTAGGTGCTCCTAGGGTTAGACAGCCCCTGGATAAAGGTGTTTTGAATGGCAATTTTGGGCTTGGGCACCTGAAGTCTATCCAAGTCCCATGACAGTTGCATTAATCTTTTTGTTTGTTTGTTTTGGATCTAGCCCTACCACAGTAGAAATGTACTGGTACTAAAGAACATGGATAAATAACATATATGATCATCATGATCCTTCAAAAAGATTGGTTCCTCAACAAAAAAAAAAAGGAAGTCAGGATTTGCTATTTCTAGCACAACAAAACAAGCAGGAAAGTATTTTTCCATTAAAAGCTATGCAAAACAAAACCTGAGCTGAAATTCTTACCATGGATAAATATGACAGTAAGAAATGCTGACATATATGCAAAACAAACTTCTTCAGGAGACTTCCATAACTGCCAGGAACGTAGCCTGGGGTTCTCAGTGAATGACTAAGAGAATTCAAACTAAACACAGACTAAAGGAGTGTTATGAATGAATTGGGAAAAGGAGAAATTCAACAGCCTGATTAAAGCGTTCTTTCCTTTGAAGTGAGCTGTGAAAATATCTAATTCAGTAAGAGTAGGTGAAAGTAGCACATTTAGGGTGCAAACCTGTTGTTACTGAAATGAATTTGCCATTGACTTCTCTGAGCCCTCTTCGGGAACCAGGATTTGGAGGAGACCATGGGAATAAAGTACACAAAGAAAGGAGGAGGGAGAATTGCACTAATTTCCCAATATCTCACCCCTCTCTCCCAAAATTTTTATAGTACAACAGTGTTATCCAGTCACCAGTTAGATTAATCACAGGGAGCATATTTGTTCATCATAAATTTCCCAGGGGATTTATGGTATACTGGCTTCTCTTGTTCAAAGGCGGTAGACTGCACTTACCTGGGTATCTCGTATGTGTCCTATTTGGCACACTCCTACTTTAAATGATGCTGGACTATTGCAACAAATGGTCTAATTCAACATTTTGCCTGTGGGGGTCCTAAGTATTAATTAGACTGAATTGGTTAGGTACTAAAATGCTGTCTGCAATTTAGAGATAGAGTGCTTGTGGCTGACAGTTGGGTGGGGAGCTGTGAAAGATTACTTAATAGGTTATACTGTGCACTTAAAAGGCAACAGTTTTAAAATAGATGTCACCTTAAACAGGAAAAGCCTCCACCATGATTCACCTTCTAAAACTCTATGTAGCCTCCATGACACATTATTTAGCCACTGATAAATGTTTATTTGTACTAATGTATTAATCAAAACAAGTGTAATTAACTTCAGATTCTGCCTACTGTAATTGGCAACATTTATATAGCTCTTTTGTGCCTATCAGTCAAGGATCCATGTGGTAATTTACTACGTTCAAATTACTTTAACCTTGCTTTAACCATGAAAAGCATTTCAGAGTTCTTACTCTGCATTTTATTTAAATATCTCTTTCTATACTGTGTTTGAGAGGGTGGTTAGTAGTCTCATATGTGCAGGTGGCTACAGTAAGTCAAATAAATAGTTCTATAGTTAGATGGATTTATAAATGGAAATAAAAGTAATTATAGCAAGTCTAGCTCTAATCATTTAAACTAACTACTGTATCTGTAATAGAGGAAGGATCCTGTAGCGGTTAGGACACCATCATAGGCCTTGTGAAACCTGTGTCCAGCTGCTGCTATGTCCCAAATTTCCGCTATGAGTTTGAGCAACTCATAAGGAATCCCCAAAATGACTTAGGTGTGGCAATACTAAACAATACTGAGCATAATATAGTGCACACATTGCTTTGCCACATTGTGGACTTAACAGCCTTAAATTTTGTACTGAGCTTTCTTATACAGTGTCTGAGGGGAGTTAAAGCCCTGTCTACGTCGTGAGTGAACTTGGCACAGAGGAAGGTTAACAAGCATAGAGACAAGCTAATTTGCACTCAGAAGTTCTGACTAGCCTGCTCTAACCAACTTGCAGATGCAGCTACACTGTTTCTGGTTTCAGCTGCTGCCAGCCCACAATATTTGGTAGGTGTGAAGGTACTGCTACCTGGAAATAGGAAATGATGAGATGAGGAGTGTGGCTAAAGCCCCAGATGTGCAGGGTTGTGTACCTGCAGTGGCACAAATTTGTGTCACTACTTTGTGCCACAATGCGTACTCCAGCATGTGCACTTTGTTGCAGGACACTGTGTCCCACTTTGGGCAAACTGCCCTTACCCAGCTCCTCCCAGCTCCCGGCATACTGGAGCAATCGGGACACAAATAGAGAGAGCATCTCTCTGGAGGACCAAGCCTCTGCTTGTTCTGGCATACGCTATTGTAGCATGCGCCATGCCAATTTCTTTTTCTGGGGTTTTTTTTTTCTACTGGGAAATCCCAGTATCAAACTTTGCCCCTGCACTGTAAATTTGCAGTGGAGGGCACATTTTAATGTTCCATGAATGTGGTTTATGGCATCACAAACCACACATGCCTACATATGAGGATGTGGCCAGGGAGTTAGAAGCCTCTCTTAAGGAAAAGGAAGCAGCAGCTCTCTTTTAGCCAATAGCCCAATGATTAGAGCACTCACCCAAGATGTGGGAGATCTGAATTAAATTTCCTTCTCTGTCTGAGAACCCACTTCCCAGGTGAATGCTATAACTAGTTGACTATCATATAGTCTGGAGTGAGAATTTTGAATCCTTCCACCTGAAGGTTTTATTTTGCATAAAATAATAATATATTTATTGGGTCAGAGAGAGTATATGTAACTTTATAACTTTATAGCAAAGATGCTCACCTTGATGGAGACCTGGGTTCTGGTACCTATTCCAACATATATTTAAGTGTTTTATACAAAGTATAAGTAGTCATTTGGATGCCTGGAGGCATGTCTACATGTGCATTAAGGTGCTTTTTTATGCACATTAAATTTAGTACCTCCAATATGAGGTACTAAAGAAATGCACATTAGGCTGCCTTACTGTGCACTAATGAATGTGCACATTTTTTAAGTGACACTTAATGTGCAGTAGTCAAATTTTACTGTGCATTAGTGTAATTACATGATTTTTTACATGACATTTTAACGTACAGTAAAATAGGCTACTGTGCATTAAAGTGCACGTGTAAACGTGCCCTAGGAAATTTTACTAGCCGAGCCAGGTGCTCAGGCAAGTTAGACATTTTAGTCTTATGCAGCACCAAAAAGGTGGGGAGATCAAAAGAGGGGGAGGAGGGGAGTGGTGTAGTTGAACCCTCTCCCCTTCTTTGTTACTTGCTCCACCCAAACTTTAAAACCAACTGCCTGGCAGTGGCATTTCTATTCAGGCAGCAGTGAGGGAGTCAACTGACTTCATGACTCACTTAATCAACCTACTTCCTGCAAATCTTTCTTCACTCCAGAGGTATTAACAACCCTTTATCCTTTTTAATGGTCTTGATGGTCCACTATTTAAACTATCCTTTCTTCTGCAATTTTGCTCTTTATTAGTCATTTCTGGTAATGTGTCTCTTCTATTTCACAGCCCTGCAGCATGTTTTAGCTTTGGCTAAAAACCTTAACTGATGTGTTAATTCAGGTGTAGAAATGACTGACAGTGAAATAGTGGAGGCACTGTCAAGACACTCAATAAAACTAGATTTTGTTTTACAGATCTGAATACATTTAAGAATAATGACTACAGGACTAATGGGACACTATCTTTTGCTATTTTGCCTACTTTGTTTTTTATTTTAACTTAATATATATTCTAGCAAATGAGTGAATATTCCAATAAATTTACATTTGTTTTTGATTTGATCTCAAACTGAATGATACAGTGCTAGACCCCTAGTATATTAGTAAAGCTTGTTTCTGTTTAACTGGAGAAAAATGTGTTGTAATATGTGATGATGTGCGACACCAACTATACCCCACTTTTCAAAATCCTAGATCTGCCCATGGCAGTGCCTGAGTGGGGATGTTGAGAATGTAATTTTTGGACTTAAACACTTACAGTGTCAGATAGGTAGCAGTTAGGCATCTAAACCCTTTTGTGGATGTAGCCATTAACCTCTCAGCACCTTTGCTCATCTCTGTGAAACAGGGATTATAGCACTCCCCTATTTTTCCAAGGAATTTTTTAAGGTTCCAAAACTAAAGTAATGGGGACTGTGCCTGTCTAACCTGGAAATGTTCAAAAGCAGGTTAGGCAGACACTTGCCTGAGATATCTTAGTCAGGGATGATCCTGCCTTGAGAAGGGGGCTGAATTAAACAACCTTATAAGGTCCCTTCCAGTTCTCCTTTTTATGTTGCTATGAACCTATGTACATTCCTAAGATACATCCCTTTGCACCAGTGATGTTTTCTAAGGTTCAGAAGCTCTATAAATTTTGAGTGATTTATGGCTCAGTGCAGAAGTAGGAATTTGATTTGTTTTCTTGTTGGTTACTTGGAAATAATAAACTTTTGTAAAACCGTTTTCTTTAAAAGTCATATAACACAGCATTTCTTATTACCTTCCTCTGATTTCTTTTGCTCAGCTCGTGCGTCCTGGGAAGGGATGTCAGCTGATCTCTTCTTTAGAGTTGTATTGTTTTCATCTTGCTTTTCTTTAGAAGATACAAGAAAGTAAGAAACCAACTAATGATGCAGCTCAGAATGATAAAGACTAGGTTTTAATAGCCCATTGCCTTTGCTAAGTAGGAGTTACAAACTGCTTAGCTCTTCAGCCACATATTTTTAACATCATTTATCTATACCTGAAGCAATGCTGCAGGCAACTTAATTTCTTTCCCTGCATGTATCTTTCCTTGCTAGTTCAAATTTGAATCCAATTCTGAATTACTCCTTATCAATGTTATATCTACCCAAAAGGGTGAAGTTTAAGATACATTCTACTATTCATGATGCTATGTTGAAAATGAAGGATTTTCTTTCCAAGCAAATTTTAAAAATGTAACAATTTACTTTACCTTCACATTGCTGCTTCCCTTCAGGAGCTTCACACGTTGTGCTGTCCTCTAAAGAATTTTTAATTTCCTCTGGATTTTCTTTTATAAATGGAGCTTCAGAACTGGTTTCTGCATTTTCATGTGGAACTGAGCCAACAGATTTTGCTATTTCATCAATAATATCAATGACCTGGAACCGAGTTTTTTCAGGAGGTACATTCCCATTGTACTCAGGTATGCTGGATGCAATTGGTGCATCTTCTGTCATGATTATGGTAGTGTCCTACTTATTCCTTTAAGCTGTACACTTCCACTGAAGTCACAGTATCCTGCAACCAAAAAAAAAAAAATAAGCTATTTGACTTATTACCTTTCTCACTGGATTCCCCAACCCCCCTTAAAGAGTTATTAAGCTTCTCGTCTGACAGCACTGTAGCAAAACAGGGGAGAGAGTAACAATATCAGGTTTTGCCTAGGATTTGTCAGCAGTCCCTTTACACAAAATAATCCAATCAGCACCTTTCTTGTTGCTTAGAGTCTTCCAGTTGCATAATTAAATGCACCATTTTAATTTACATACACAAACAATCTGAAGCAACAAAGCTTTTGTGCTGGCATGTAGAGCAGGTCTTTCAGCATGTCAGCCTGGTGGTAATAAACAGAGATTTTGTACTCTTGTCATAATGGTTCTTTGTGTGCTCTCCTCAGAACAGGAAAAACAATTGTTCTAAATCTTTAATCCAGGCAGGATGACGACCTTTAGTCATATTAGTTATGTGTAACCAGCTTAACATTCCCCAAAAGGTTTATATTCTGTTAAATCTTGAAATACTGTTGGTCAGACAATAGGTTCATTTTACATTGGTTAAGGAGCAAGCTAGTTTATTTGAGAAGCATACATACTTTGCATACAAAACAGCACAATGCCACTTTCTTCCATACAGCATAGTTCATGCCACCTATATCCATCCAATAATACTTTACAGAAATAGGACCAAATCCTGGGAGTTATTTATTTCAATGGAAGTTGCAAACATTCTTCCCTGCTTAGGATCTGGCCCTCAGAAATAAGACTGGAGAATTAAAATAAAAAATAATAGTAGTAAAACTGGAAGGAGAGAAAGAAACTTTCTAAAATGAGATGGCAAGTTGATAAGGCAGAGAAATCCCAATGACAGGACATTTCTACATGCTAGAGAACCTGGTGCAAACATTTTCAATAGAGTGATGATAAAGTCTTCACAAACAAGCATGGTTATCATATAGCATGTAGACAGATTCCAAATTTAAACCTAATAATATCTAATAATAGCATAATAATCTGTATGATAAATGAAGCAGTGGCAGAAGACTAATACTAATATAATTATAACCCTGATCCAACAAGCTGGCTGAGGAGAATGAAACTTTTATAAGAATACTCACAAAGAATGAAAGAAGTCACTGCCATGACTCACTGGGTAACAGCTGGCCTGGACTAAGCACTGGAGGCATTTTCTGCCCATAACTGAACTTATCCCTCCCCTTTACAAGCCTACCACATTAAACCAAGTTTATATAAGAATGTAAATCTCCAAATTACTTTTCATATTTGTACAGTGCAAAACATAGATTTTTTTGGCTTACACATTTCAGAATCATTCTGTTGGGATCCTACATGGTGACTGGATATGCCACTGAAATGGAGTCAAAAAGGGACTTGCCCAAGCATCTTTGTTGTCTTTGTCTTCAGATTATGACATTAATGATGCCTATGAAATCCAGATTTAGCTGTTGATAGATTTGTCTAGAAGTAGCTTGGGCAAAGCATTTTTTTCCTGTCATATTTATTGCATATGTTCATCACTTCTGAATGATTGAAAAGTAGAAATATGTTCCCTACTGGTATATCTCTAAGGACCAAATATCTAATTTGTAAAAAAACCCTCAACACATGCTGATCCTCACTATGCTCCATTCTCATGGCATAAAAAGACTACAAAGGTGGAAGATTTCCCAAGAGAATCACTTGAGGGCATAAATAGTCCTCCCAAGCTGCAGATCTCCACAGTAGGGGCATGCCAGCAGCAGTCCAGGAAAATATACTATTTCTAAAGCATTGCAAGCCCCTGCTTATGAATCATCTCCTTATGGCTATACCTTAGAGCATCTTGGTTGGAGCAATTATAAACTATGCTAGGAGTCAAATTAACCCTGGTTTGCCCTGACAGGAGGACCAAGTAGCCACAAACAAGCCTTTTAAGATTCTCTTCCTCACCTGTATTCAGTGGATTTAGGGCTAAACTCAGGCCCAAGCCTTTCACGTAATACAAGAGCCAGCACTTGTAGGGGTCATGCAGCTGTCAGTGAAGGGACAATCTGAAGACCAGAGGAGCTGATTCATAATCGGACCTGCAGGACTTTGGTCACTGATGATGCTGGATAAATTGGAAAGAACCCGGCCCAAGTGCCAGAGTGCGGGGTGAATTTACAGGACTAAAGGGCAGAGGAAAAAAACCTGTCTTTATTGGAGACTAAGCTGATGTGATCAAAAAGTCAGTAAGACATGACAGAAGTAGAAGCCCGCCATGCTATTTTTACATAGACAAATTTTAAGGAAACATCAACACATAACAACATGTTACAATATTTCTCTGAAGGAAGTAAAGACTAAGTGATCTAACTGAAATTAGAAATCTTTATAAAGACAGGCTGTGAATACCTCATTTGGAATTTGTACAGGGTCATTTTGTCTATTCCAGGAGCTCCTCAGGCCTGAAAAGATTAACTCAAGTTTCAGGATCACAACCAGCAATCCAGTGCTTAACTTTTTTAACCTTTCCTTTAAAAAGTGAAATTTTAGCTGTTATAATTGAAGTGACAAATTCAAGACCATGAACTGAATGTACATCTGCAATCTCAGTGACATCTTAAATTGCAAATGGCTGGACCCAGTAGCTCTGAGAGGTGTAAATGCTGCAGGTTATCTCAGTCTGAGGACCATAGAGTCTGCCATTCTATGGCTATAACATTTGTCATTTTTTCCTGAAGTCACAAAACGAAGCATTTTTCCTGGGAAATGTTGTCATTCTACAGCCAGGCACCCAGCACAATTTTTTTCCCTGTCTCCTTGCCCTCCTGGGCTATGTTAGTTGGTGTGTGTGATAATTTGAGAAGTTGGTAGAAGTCATGAATGTTGTTTGGACTACAGAATTGCTTCCTTATAGAGTAACAGTGTACATAGAGTCAGTCAGGCCTGTCAGTAGAAGTATTTTAGGACAGTGGGAGGGCTAAAGCCTATGGAAACTAATCCCGCCAAGTTTTTCATCTGGAAGCAAGAGAATTTCCCTAAATGCAGAACAAAGAAATGTGGTAGTAACACTTGGTCTCAGAAACCAGAGCCTAGGAAACATGAAGCAAAGAGGGGAGAGAAAGAGAGTGATGAAAGGGGAAGCCCACTATTGGGTCTAGGAAGAAAAACAGAAGGGATTTGTGGCGGGCCAGTAGGGGGCGCTCCTGCGTTGAGCCGCCCACCTCCCTGCGCCCGACCACCTTCCAGGCTCCGAGTGCCTCCCTTGGGGTGCCTCCCGT